ATCCCAACAGGAAAGTGTTGTAATTGTAATTGTAACAAGAATTGCCGCTAATATGGCTATTATAGATAACCGAGCTAGACTTACTGCTCCTTTCAGGGTTGTACCGACCTTTTGTAACAGGTTGCAGTTGCACTAGGTCGGTATAACCGTGAAGGAAGCATGAGAAGTACAAGCATGGAGTAGAAAGGGAGTGTCACGGAGTCAAGGGGAGGAAACTTAACGGGAATATTTCCTAATCTACAGGAGCCGGAACACAGAGTAATGACTGGCAGGAAATCGGTGCAAGTTTATCTGGACAAACAAAGCTCGAGCCAACAAAAACAACCTACGTACAATAGTGTTCATGTAAATGGGATTATAGTTATACGAAGTAGGAGACAGGGTATAGGGGGGTTTGGCTGGCTCTCAGCCAACTCCCCCTCAGGGTTTACTTACACGCCTGCATCTCGTTTATGCCGATGACAGCAAGTTGCTGGAGTTCTTATAGAATGGAGGGTAACGAACAATTGATAATTTTACTCCTGTCTCATGATTATTGTCGACTAGAATAAAAGAGTCAGCAAATTTACAGCTGTATACCATTATAGATTTACATATTCATATTTTCAGGTCTAATTTTGAGATTCATGATTCATGCTGCAGATTGTCAGTTTCAACAAAAATAACCGAAAAGTCGAAAATAATTCAAAACTCTAGGTATTGGATAGAATTATTGAACAATATACTGCGAGAGGGCTCAGGAATTCTGATCGAGCGAAAAATAAAACGTTAGAGCAACTCCACAAGGCTTTAAATTAAGATTTAATCGTATAATGTTTAAAAAATTGCACCCAAACCTAAAAGCTATTCAATGATCATACAACTCGGGACTAAGGAGAGTGTGAAATTACGTGCCTAATAAATCAGAGGGTGATCAAATTACAGAGCCTAACTCCGTAATTTGAAACTTAGGGAGAGGATTTCTTATGAGGCTAAGAAAGATGGAGGCGAAGATTGAAATAATTAAATCACATACCACCGTGCATTAATTTTAATTTTTAGGCTTTCTTAGATAGTATAGCTTCCGTAATCCAGGAATTCTGTATAAATAAGTAGGTATCTGATACTATCATTCTCAGACAGGTCTGTGTTTATTTTGACCACAATTATTCCCATTCCGATCTAATCATTCTGATAGAAGACAATAACGAGCATTCAGAACAATTTTCGACCTAAAACTGCAAGAATTCGTTTTTCTTACAGCTGTTAAACTAACGGTAAAGTTAAGTGATCATGATCTCGTAAAACTAAAGCTAAAGACAGGGTCGAACAGCACAATGATCCAAGAGTACCAGTAATCAGCTAATTTTATGTCAAATAACGTTACCACCCGGACATGAGCACATACCTACCCAATCACTGGCAACTTCCCATACATGCATAGTCACCAGCCAATCAGCAGAGAGCTCCTGGGTAACGGACCAATCACAAACCTGTATTTTGCTCAAATGCAGCCAACAGGAGGAAGACGGCGGAGAGAAGATGCAACCACTCTCATGGCGTAGAGACAGGAAACATTTTTAAATATTCGCAGAGATAATGGATATGGTGATCGGCGATTTCGATAGTAATTATTGAGAGTGTCCAATTTATTTTATGAAACTTGAAGTATAGTAGTACAAACAGTATTACTATTAGTAATACCTAAGATGTGATTAATCTATTAAAAACTGCATAAACGCAGACAACACCATTTCATTTTCTGGCATAACAACGAGTTTAGTCTGGAAAACATTTTACTTTTAAAAACTTTTTACTGACCTGCCAACATGATACAGGTAGTCACACGCCACTGGACATTGGCAGTGTAACATAACATAACGATAAGTGAACAAAACGTGTCACTTAAGTGGACTCAATTCATGAACAATGAAAGGTTGAATAGCAGATGCGATTATGTCGTTGAAGTGACATCGACCAATGAGGAACGATTATCATGTGGACCACTACTACTAACCAATAAGAGAACATGTTTGGCGACCACTTGATGGTACAAGAGGAAAGCACTTAATAATTGCTTCCCTGAATTGTTGAGGACCGGTGGCTAATTGATGTTGGAGCAAGGGATGTACCTTGACTTCCATAGCTCATACATCATTGTACCTTCCTGGACCGTGGCCAGGTCCAGGCTACTGAAAGATAGTTGCTGACGCAACGTGAGACAAACACGTCAAAGCAGTCCTCTAACTCTATATATTTTAGTTACATATATTATAATTGCCTCTTGAATTGTCCCAATTTCAAAAATGAAAAACTTAACTTGAAGTTGAACTTTCTCTTTGTTTTTTAGAAGAAAAATGTAGAAAATGAAAACCACAAATTTTTTATACAGTTTAGAGAACTGAAAACACAAGCAGACTTCTCAAAATAATTCAAGGTCGTTTTCAAGCACGTGCTGTGAAAAAATTGAGCACACGAACGCGACTTCTGTCCATTGACGTAATACGGGAACGGGAAGCCAGTGAACAACCAAGCAGTTAAGAATAAGAAAACACTGGATAATATCGATAGCGATACAGTTCTGCTTCCAATTAATTAATTTGATACTACTTCAGAATTTGTGTTGCATGTACATCCTCGCTTATCGTCGAAAAAAAGAGATATAGTATTAGTGGGTCTGTATTAGAAATTCCTCGCTACTCGTGCAAATCTCTTTTGAAGTATAGACTCTAAGTTTTAGTTAATAGTTTTAGTTAATAGTTTTATAATAATAATATAAGGCTATATATATATATAAGCCATAAGGATTGTAGCGCGAGATGCACCACTGTGCACTGGGCGAGATTGGAGAAGCACCACTGGCACTGGGCCTCGCCGAGCTGCGAATGATTGACATCGTGATTCGTGAATCAACCATAAGGGCTAGATGGTGCTGTACTACTATATAGTAGTAGTACTACGACTACGAGTGTCGAGTAGGTATCAGAAGTTTGGAATTTGTTATATTAGTGAATCTCAGATACAAATGATACGTAAGATAAGTAAGATGAGACAAAATAACACTGAGGTTTGGCACACAATACCCACAATATTAATAATACGAGTATGACGTGACAGTGACACAATATACGCATTACAAACATTGAACATAAAACGAAACACCGCCATTTCTACTTTTAGTACCTGAAAAGTGAGTTCTTCAAGTTTTGCGCCATGCTGCATGCACGCATGATTTAACTTTAAGTTTAACAGTCCATCAAGTCAGTTAACACTAACTATAACATATAAATGGCAATTGACACAATTGAGGTGCTAGAAGTTTGATTATGGTCGGAGCAAGCATACTATTACTAATACTACAGAAAGCGGCTTTTAATATGACTATGAGTATGAGTATGACTATGAGTAATAAGTATGATATGTACTTATTCAATTGCCACACGCCAGCGTGCTGTCCATGTCACGTTAGTGTTACAAGCTCAAAAACGCTACTGTCTTATTTCTCCGTAAAAAGCACACTAGCGTGAGTAGCTTTTATCTATGTGCCTCGAAAGTCATCTTAAACGATTCCCCGTTCAATTTTGATTGAAACTCGTCAACTCAATGCAGTATCAAGTTTACTGGGCCGCGCTCAGCCTGTCATTCCGCCAAATCTTTATTTATATTAATGTTTATGAACATAATAGCCTGGGGTCCCCAGGTAATATCAAGTTATTTACCTAGCTTGATATACTAGTCTATTGCTCGCTTCTCTCGCAGGAAGCTTGATAAGAGCACCGCGCACAGGGACTGGCGCGCCAATTTAGAAAATAATGTTCCTTTAAATCTTGTAGCGCGATGCACTACTGGGTCGCGCCGCGCATCAAATAATTCTTCTCGCAACCACAGATCGGCGAGATGCGAAGGATTGACATCGTGAATCAACTTTAAATCTTAAAATATTAGTACCGAAACTTTCGTCTCGCTGGGCTAATTACAACTCCATAACAATTACTTCAAAATAAATGAAACTGTGAACGTTGTAGGCCAAAAAATAAAAACTGCAAGATTTGCGCGACGGAGAAGTTTGTTGTCATACGTTGTATGACCCGCCGCGCACGAGTGCGCGGCTCCCCCTGTATCGTCAGGACGACAAACTGCGCAGTGGAATTATTTTATTCACAATTTTAGACAACTTTTTGTGTCAAAAAATTATGTGCCAAATCATGTAATGGCTCATATTGCAGACTATAAAAATGCAACATATCTTTATACGATGAACTTATCTTAGTGGACTTTATGGCAGAAAATAGTCAAGTTTCGGACGGCTCACAGTTTCCATTTTGCTCTAATGTCTAACCAGAGCCCTCTCGCTTGCAGTAGCGCGCAGACTCATGGCTAGGTGAACTTGAAGTTCCCATTCAATTGAAAAACACGGAAACGTTAGTGCTACCAGGTATATAATGTTTATCTAGTTCCAGAAATGAACCACTATTAGTGCAGTCCCAGGTCGGCAAAACACCAAAGCCTTGCTTTGTAGAACCGTTTAAATAGCACTCTCTTCCAATAATATTTTACTTTATGAAAAAGTCAACTCACCTCAGAGTTCTACAGAGAGGAATTCCATTGACCATGCTGCCTCATCTGATACAATCTACAAGCTACTCTGAATTACATACTACATGATGATTTCATGATTTTCATGAAAATGGGTTGAATACAAATGAGGATTTTGAGGTAAAGCAATTATATTTAAGTTATTTTAAAGACTTTGGCTAGTTTATTGGGCTTCTTTGTTTAATATGATATGAAAAATTACAATTGACAAAAAAATGAAACAGTTAATTTATTTCAACGTTCGATGAGAGAAAATGTATTAAACACCACAAAAATTCGAACACATCCATAAAATCCGATTAAAATATGTACACCTAACGCCTAGGAATTAAAGTCAAACCATTATATTAAATTTAATATTGAAGAGTACAAAATTCTCGTTCCAGCAATAAAAATGAGCCTCAATAAACATGGTTTAACACAAATTCTTGTTAGTTCTGGAGTGAACATCTTTACTTTCAAGTCTTCGAATAGAAACATTGTGATCAAATTCTGACGGGAGATAGGAAAGATGGTAATCGAAGGGCAGGGTGTCAAATCAGTTTTGTTCCTGAACTATCTTCAGCCGATGAAACACATTCCTTGATCGTCTTCAGCAATCAAGTCTTCGTCTTGGCTACAGGTCTGTTTAGTCTGTTGCGCAACTAGCCTGCAAAAGAATTGGGATTCAGATATTCAATCATCGACTACCTTTAAGGACGATATAATTCATAACGTTAACATATTTAATAATCATCTTGTATGAATAACTGAATAATCATGGAACTAAGATCACGAAAATGACTTCCTGCCACTTACGTCTCAAGCTGCGCGAGGGTCCAGCAACTCCATCACTTTAGAGCGGTGTCTGCGTGCTTGTTCACCTTATTCCACTTAGCAACCAGATTGTTCATGCCCTTGTGTTTCTTGCTTCCAGACCCCATTATCAGTCCGTCTGGCTTTTTCTTCTGAAAAATGGGGACGTGAACACAAAAATGGGGACGTGTGGTCTACTTTAGAAAGTGTGAGTTTGGTAGCCTATTAAAGTTATCGCGCTTCAGAAGGCTTAGTTACAGTTATTATAGAAGGTGAATAGTCTGCAAAAAAAATAAATACGGACCTTCTTCAAAACTTCCTTCGTTGCTGCACTTTTCTCTTCTTTTTTCTCACTTTGTTTGCTTCCTTCAACTTGTGTCCCGTCCTACAGAGAAATTTCAGATATTAAAAAAGCTTTTGGGGTCCCACCCTAAAAACAGTTGTAATCATTATTATAGCTATAAACATACATATACAAACCATAACCAAGTCAAATTTCTGTGAATTTTGGCCCCTGTTGACCATTTAATCTCTGTTGACAGCAAACAGCGAAAAAATAAGGATTCTGTCCATCAGTGAGCTCTGAGAATAGTTGGTTAGCGCATCATTATAATTGTTATATATTCAGATAATAATCTATGACACAAATAACAAATGAGTGATTATCTAACAGTAACAATGATAATATGGATTTGAAACATATATGAAAGAAGGTGACGTATGAAAGAAATGGGAGTTAAAAGCAAGCGATGGGTAAATCGCTGCCATGTTTCAAAATAATATTGCTTCATTCAAGGATTAAGTAAAATAACAAATAAAGCATAGGTATATGTATTAATGAGTAATGAAGAGGTAAACAAATAAAAGACCTTGTACGATTCTCTAATATTATATGGAGGTTCTAAAGATTCGATCCGCTAAAATACGAGACAAAGACAAGCAATAACTCGATAAATGATAATAGGAATAAAAAATCTTACCTGTCCCGACGTTCCCTCAGAGATCCTTAACATTTGAAAATATCACCAGTAGTACCTCACACATGACACCACTATCTTGAGATTTCTATACACCGCAACTTGCATTTCCTCCTATCAACTCTACTTCAACCTTTGTTCATACCTCCCTAAATCCCTAAATCTGGAGTTAGCATCACATGTTGCGGGTGAGGAAATTGTAGCAGCTGCACCTTTCTTACCTTGTTCTCAGTCGGGGGCGTTTCCTCCGAGGGGGCAGCAGGAGAGGAGGGAGCTTTTGTGGGGGTTCCGGGGGCAAGAGGAGGCGTGCTATACCTCATGGGCGCTTTAACACTCACAACACTAAGGGGGAATCTGTTTTAATTCCAAGAAAAATGTCAATTCCAGGAAACTGGAGAAATAGAAGTTTTTTTCAACTTTCTTGAACAGTTATAATAATTAGTTATCGAGAATTGAGATACACAGGAAATAACTGATTTAAAGGCGCGGCTACTGCACTATATTCAGCGCTTTACTGCAAGAATAAATTATTATTAAACAAAAAGCGATCTCCTTACCCTAGATCTTCCTGTTTTTTCTTCTTTTCTTCCTCATCCTCAGAGTCACTGTTACCCGGGGAATAGGTCTCCATCATACCGTCGTCGGGAGGAGGGGGCGGTGGGGCTGTCGGCATTCCTGGAGGATAAGCAAGTTCATTACGCAACTGTGGTAAATGTTTGAAGATTCGGATAACAAATTGATAATTGAGACGTTATTGCAAGTTTTCACTATATAAAACGAGGGTGGGCGACAATTGACCCCCCGACAATATAATCTAATACAATTGACCCTGACCCTGACCATAACCCTAACCCTAACCCTAACCATAACCCTGACCCAGGACCCTAACCCTAACCCTGACCCTGACCCAGGACTCTGACCCTAACCCTAACCCTAACCCTAACCCTAACCCTAACCCTAACCCTAACCCTTACCCTGACCCAGGATCCTGACCCTAACCCTGACCCAGGATCCTGACCCTAACCCGATCAATTGACCCCAGTGTAATTACATGGGGGTCAATTGTCGGGGGGTCAATTGTCGTACTAAACCCTAGATTTCGCGACAATTGACCCCAGTGTAATTACATAGGGGTCAATTGTCGGGGGGTCAATTGTCGGGGGGTCAATTGTCGCGGTACCATAAAACGAATCTTAGAAAGTTCTAAAACAATCCAAAGCAACAAGAAAATACACAAATTTTACGAACCAGGGAAATGGCTCATCCCGTTCCATGGCTCCATAACCACATTACCCCACATATCCTGGTAGTAACCCTGAAGTGGAGCAGGTGGCGGTGGGGCAGGTGGCGGCACATCGCTCGGAATTGGTGGTACAGAGGGTGGCAGAGGTGGAGTGGGAGGAGGAGGAGAGGGAGGAGGTTCCGCAACTGGTTCTGTGGGTGGAGGTGAGGGGGTTGAAGAGGAAGAAGCAACCTCCGGCGTCTTGTCTTTGGTTGACGTCTCAATCTGAAAAAGATTATTGGTAAATGGAAGTATGTCATTAGAATTTTTGCAAAAATAGAATGAAGGTCAACTTGCTATATTCTCTCCACTTCAAACTTTGGTATTATACGGTACGGCGATTCTTCAATCTATGTAGTTAACCGACGCTATCGAACAAGTAAAATTCTAATTGAATTATGACAATAACTAAGATGCAATGATATTGGTGATCGCAATATGTGATCAAAAATTCCTGAAAAGATTGAGAATTGAAAATCGCAATATGTGATTAAAATTCCCCGAAACAAATCGAAAATAAAAAATAAAAATATAGATCCCATAATCATGATAATTGTTCACTAACTAATAAAACGCGGCTAAAAATCTATTTGAACGGTTGTCAGCTAAAAGAACCCTGCCTGTTAAAGAACATGTTTGAACGGCGCATTTCAAATGCATACCTGTAATTCATATTTAGTATTTTATTCTTAAATCAGTTCAAACGTATTCCTCTAAGTTAAGCGCCTTCAAAAGATCACCATGAACTAGCATACAATGTTTCGTGGTCGTGCATTTCATCTTAGAAGAGTACGTACAAAACCTGCACTTGAACTGAAACCGAAAGGTATGGTGCTTGGCATGTCTCTTCAGCTGAACCATCTGCCTGGCCGCATATCCGCAATCCCCACACTGAAAGGGACGTTTGTCCTCGTGGATCCTCATGTGGGTGTAGAGATTGCCCTTCTGGTTGAACTCATGACCGCAGATCTGACACTTGTAGTGGTTTCGGTTGACGATGTCGTGGTGTAGTGGAAGAGATGGTGGAAGAGAGGGTCCATGTTTCGATTCTTTGGAGAGAGTTGGGCGGCTTTCCTTGTTCCGGATAAGGACCGGTATCCGCGGATTCTGATTAGATGGTTTGATCAAGGGTGAAGAATCCTGATGAAATCTGATTTTAGCGCTTTGGCCTGGTTTGCGAGACACATCACTTGTGTACAAAGGCAGCGCCCAAGTCGCAGGAGAGCTGGTATTTGACAGCATCCCATGCTGAGAGATTGTATTTGTAGTAGAGATCCTGTTATCCAACTGAGGAAGGACGTTTAATTTCTCGCCGCTCGGTATCCATCTAGATAAATCAATAGCCTCCTCCTGCTCCACTTGATTGGGGCAACTGTCAAAATCAACGATACCCTTCAACGAAAATATTCCGTTGATATGAAGACATCGAACGCGTACACAGCTTTGGAAATGGGCAACATTAAAATCTTCACCGATAGCTTCCTCGGGCGAACTGTCATCTTTCTTCGAGGGTAAACGATTAAAATCAGATAAATCGGCATGTCCTAACATCTTCCTGACATCCGTCTCGTTTTGTTTCTTGATAATTGTGCTGTCTTGATACGTGGGACCAAATCCGGCCTCGGTTACGGATGCGTTGTTGAAAGCTGGGTGCGGGATGTGAGCTGGGCGTGGTGCGTTTTCCGCCATTACCGGAAGAAACATTTCTCCGTCTGTATTCAGGATGAAATTATACAAATGTGATTGTTAGGAGATATTACAGACAAATTAAAATGAACTGAAAGGTCTAAAATGAAACCATCTTGTTATTTTAGTATCGGGTGATCAGCTGAACGAAACAATTTTGCACGAATACTATTTATGTACATGCAAATAAGCGACCGTCTCGGAAGAGGTAACGTCCGCCACCGGACAAAAATGCATCATTATTCACCGCAGTTGTTTGTACACTACGGTTAGAAGAAGTCGGCAGTAAATTAATAAAGTTACGAAATTTTTAAGTTTCATGTAGGAACCGACCGGATTGGGGTTTTGGCTGCCGGACCGGATTCAGCCGGATTTGGATCTCAAATCCGGCAAGCCGGATTTTGCCGGACCGGAACCGGTGGTTTCAGAGTGAAATAAAAGGCAGCCGGATTTTGCCGGTTTTTGCCGGAAAATCTCCTTCCTTTCCACGCCTAATCTTCATCGAGAACTTCTTGCAGCTTGCATAAGGGATCCCATTTTCTTCTGAGTAGAACAACCAGACGGATGATGTTTTAGATTTACTACTACTCGACTCGACTTAGGGCGGCTTCAACGTCCGAACAGATATAGTTTTTTTACAAATCTTCCTATCTACTACTAGACATTGCTTAAACAAGCAGTACGTAGCAGACACAATGTAACACGAGTAGACACGAGTCACGACACTAGACGAGTAATAATCAGAAATGATATCTAATTGGCATATGCTGCCAGACCCCTGATTGAGCGCGTTTGTGCGAATTCCCTTTTTTTCATGCAAGTCTGAGTATCATTGGGTCACGTGACTTACAACCAGAGGTGCTTAATAAGGTTGTTCGTAAGCAGGCACTGTCTAGTACAGTACTAATCACCGTCTGGCGTCTAGAGCTGAGTCACATGATTGCAGTAATGAGCTAATTAAGTAGCTACCCAGACCCTGAACACGTGACCTTCATATTTCGTATTTCATAATCAGAAGATTAAATACTGCAAATTTTGCGATTATAGCCGGGGGCTAGCCCAGGGAGGTGGCCCAAAATATTTTCCGGTTTTTTCTAAGTCCGCACCTACCCCTCGATACACTATTCTGTATTCTGGACTCAAGGTTTCCCCCGGTAATGCGATCTCGGAAGGCAGGCCTCCCCTTTGCAACACGAGCTCGGAAGCGGGAGCTCTCGTTACAGGAGGTACGTCTCGAGAACCACTCGGACCGAAATTTTTTAAGTTAAAATTTTTCGAAGTTTTTCTGAAAACCACTTTTTTGCACGATTCAGGCTACCCTGTTCATTATTAGCCGAAAATATTTTTTCGGTTTTTCGAAGTCCCCACCTACCCCTCGATACACAATTCTGGACTCGAGGTTTCCCCTGGTAATGTGATCACGGAAGGCAGGCCTCCCCTTTGCAACACGAGCTCGGAAGCGGGAGCTCTCGATACAGAAGCTGTACGTCTCGAGAACGACTCGGACCGAAAACTTTTAAGTTAAAATTTTTCGAAGTTTTTCTGAAAACCACTTTTTTCCACGATTCAGGCTACCCTGTTCATTATTAGCCGAAAATATTTTTTCGGTTTTTCGAAGTCCCCAACTACCCCTCGATACACAATTCTGGACTCGAGGTTTCCCCTGGTAATGTGATCTCGAAAGGCAGGCCTCCCCTTTGCAATACGAGCTCGGAAGCGGGAGCTCTCGATACAGGAGCTGTACGTCTCGAGAACGACTCGGACCGAAAACTTTTAAGTCAAAATTTTTCAAAGTTTTTCTGAAAACCACTTTTTTCCACGATTCAGGCTACCCTGTTCATTATTAGCCGAAAATATTTTTTCGGTTTTTCGAATTCCCCAACTACCCCTCGATACACAATTCTGGACTCGAGGTTTCCCCTGGTAATGTGATCTCGAAGGCAGGCCTCCCCTTTGCAATACGAGCTCGGAAGCGGGAGCTCTCGATACAGGAGCTGTACGTCTCGAGAACGACTCGGACCGAAAACTTTTAAGTCAAAATTTTTCAAAGTTTTTCTGAAAACCACTTTTTTCCACGATTCAGGCTACCCTGTTCATTATTAGCCGAAAATATTTTTTCGGTTTTTCGAAGTCCGCACCTACCCATCGATACACAATTCTGGACTCGAGGTTTCCCCCGGTAATGTGATCTTGGAAGGCAGGCCTCCCCTTTGCAACACGAGCTCGGAAGCGGGAGCTCTCGATACAGGAGGTACGTCTCGAGAACGACTCGGACCGAAAAATTTCTAAGTCAAAATTTTTTTAAAGTTTTTCTGAAAACCACTTTTTTCCACGATTCAGGCTACCTGTTCATTATTAGCCGAAAATATTTTTTTGATTTTTTTTCGGTAAAAAAAACTGAAATCCGGCAAAAATCCGGCAATTTTTTTTCCAGCCGGAGCCGGAACCGGAACCGGATTTTGAAGCCGGATATCCGGCCGGAACCGAATTCAGCCGGATTTCCGGTCGGTTCCTAGTTTCATGCAATAATTATTAAAAATTGGGGTTGCACAATGGCGCGCAACACGGGACATAGTAGCAAATCATATACAAGCAACCGTGAAAAGTGGAAACAAAATGCTGGGTGTGCGATCAATTGTCGATTAAACACCACTGTAAACTTTAAAATGAAAAAAGTTGACAGTGGTAAACTTTGTGTGGAGACTTCTAATATAATGGTACGAGTTAATCAGTTTCTTAGTATCGGTTCTTAATTGAGGTATCTCAACACTTATTTTACTTCGGACATTCCAACCGCCACATTGTTACACAAGTGTGTAACCAGCCAATTACAGGAAGCCGAAGGATTCAATTATACATTAGGCCAGTGACGGTTAAGGTAGTGTGTACCATACTTTCTTCGCCCGAGACTTTGCTGCAATGGGCAGCTCCTCATTTAACCCTCACACCCGATTTCTCGAGTATTTGGCTGAGTGGACCGGGGGCTGCATAGACCACTCAGGATCATTAGCTGAGCGTCGACGACGCTCACCCCACGGCTAGTGACAGAGTCGGGAATCGAACCTGGTGGGGGGAATGCAACGTCAATTAATGTCAATTAATGTCAATTAATGTCAATTAATGTCAATTAATGTCAATGTCAGTTTTGCAAAATTTTGGAATACTGACATTAATTGACACGATATTTTTCGACCAGAGATTATGTAGTTCTACCATATTTTTAGCACTTTAGAACGTTTATATCATCAATTTATTCACTACTATCACATATGGAAATGTGAAATGTGAAAAATTCAGATCATTAAACAATAAAACTAAAATAATACGGTTTCCCGAAATTTAATTTTCTTAAATGGGCGTGGCCATTTAAGGGCGTGGTTCTCAACATCATCAGAACTTAAAACCCACATTAAACGAAATGCCTTCATGACATTTATATTTGAATAACGAATCTTAAACAGCTAACATTACTCCTTCATACTAAAAAAGCCGATTCTAGATATTTTACCTGTATAAGAAACCAATAAAATATGGGCGTG